ATCTTGTTCATTAGATCATATTCTGACTCCTGTTCTTAAGGACTGTCTAGACGAAGTTATTCCAGCTTTTACCAATATTATTAATTCTTGTATATTATCCTCTACTATTCCCAACGTTTTCAAACAAGCTTATGTTACCCCTTTAATTAAAAAGTCTACACTGGATCCTAAAGTTTATAAAATTACAGACCTCTCTCTAACTTAAGTTTTATTTCTAAAATATTGGAGACATGTGGGCCTATTGCTTCTCAGATAAAGGCCCATATCAAAGTGCTTATAAGAAATTTCACAGTACCGAAACATCTTTAACCATGGGGTTTCAAATGATATTTTAATGGAAATTGATAATAGAAAATGTACATTTTTAATTTTATTAGATTTATCTGCTGCTTTCGACACGGTGGGTCATTCTATTCTTTTATGTAGACTTCATTTTAAATTCGGTATTTGTGACTCTGCATTAAATCTTTTAGAAAGCTGTCATGTGGGTAGAAAACAGTGTATTTTAGTTAATTGTAAATCGTCGTCTGAATCTGGGGTTCCTCAAGGTTCCGTTCTTGGTCCGATTTTATTTACCCTTTATACGTCACCATTAGGTGATATTGTCAGAAAATATGGTCTCAGCTTTCATTTGTATGCCGATGATTCTCAATTATATATTTCATTTACACCTATTTGTCTGCATCTTCTTTCAATTTATCAAAATTGCACCTTGAGAACTGTATTAGTGAAATTAGAGAATGGGTGTCAAAGAACTTTCTAAAATTGAATGATGATAAAACCGAATATCTGTTATTAGGTTCAAGGCATCAAGTAAATTTACACATGATAACCCCTCTGTTGTAATTGGTAATTGTGATATATTTCCATCTTATTCTGCTCGTAATAATGTCGCAATCTTTGATAGTTTTATGCTTATTGGAGCTCAAGTAAATAATATTTGTAAATTGTGCTATTTTAATATCAGAAATATAGGTAAAATTTGTAACTGTAGAGGCCATTAAGCCACTTGTTAATTCTCTCGTCACTTCTCGATTAGATAACTTTAATTCACTTTTAGTTGGTTTACCTTTAAAGCATATAGATAAATTACAAAAAGTACAGAATACTGCAGCTAGACTTGTTACTTTAACTAAGAAATGCGACCACGTGACTCCTGTTTTATATAATTTACACTGGTTACCTATTAAATATCGAATTGATTTTAAGATTTTATTACTTCCTTTTAATTGTTTAAATAATTTAGCCCCAAACTGTTCAACTATAGTCTCTTATGGTCAGCGCTCTTTTAGTATCAAGCACCTGTTTTATAGAATAATCTACCATTTAGTTTAAGATGATGCACATCTCTATATTCTTTAAAAAAAAACAACTTAAAACACATTTATTTAATCAGGCTTTTAACAATCGTTAACATCTCCATAATCTTGTTGTTTATTTATGATTATATTGTCACTTTGTAAAGTGCCCCTGAACGTGTTATATGAAAGGGCGCACTATAAATATGTTGTAATAATAATAATAATAATAATAATAATACGGCATACATTTTAGTTCCGTGGGGTGGGGCACTGTACGTGTACAGCTAGTATTCCTGCTTTCCATGCAACATCAGTGTACAAGGGAGTCGCGGTGACTCAGTAAGGGCCTGGCTCACTTACCGGGTTTGATCCTGGCCCGGCATATGGTCCCCCTTGTCCGTGGCTCACTAGTCAAGAGGTCAGGGGTTTGATCCCCGTGTTGCCTAGACAGTTCCCCAAACTTTCCAGCGTTGTTTCCCATTAACAGTGGCGCAGGGGGGGGGGGGGGGGGCTATTTTGGGCAGCGTCTGGTTATTCAGATGGAATATAAAACTGAGGTCCCGTGCACAAGTTGGTGCGCACGTAAAAGAACTCGAGATTCGAAATAAAGAATAGTCCGTAACGTCGCTGTTTGGACCAAATTCCCCCCATAGCATAATGTATGGCGTTTGGCATTAAACTACATTTGGTGTTTTTTTTCTCTTCATTACAATTGTCACTCCCTTACAGTATTATTTAAGTTTTGCCATATATCTATTTTAGTGAGAAAATTGCATATTTATAGATGCTTTGTTTCAATTCAAATAATTGTTAAAAAATCAGGGCCCTCACAGGCCTATGTGGCGCTCCAGGGTAAAAGTTTCAGTGACGCCCCTCCGCCCTTTTGAATACTGTAAATGCTTTGTTCGGTGCCTGCGCTCAGTTGATGTTTTATGATTAAAGAAATTTTAAAATACAATTTTTATATGTCCACATTGCTTGTGGACGCTCTAGAGACTAAAGTTGATATCCGATTGACTTTAAATTTTTACACAGTCATGAGACGAAGAAGCCTATGCCTATTGATTTTTAACGATTTCCGATAACGTAGACGTTCTGGAGGCTAAAGTTAATGTCCGATTGACTTTACATTTATACACAGTGTTTAAGGTCATGAGTCCGATAATTAAGGTCCGATAATTACTGCTAGAATTGTGGCCCTTGGTCCCTCTGTGGAAAAATCTTGTGGGCGTTCTACAGGCTAAGAAGCCTATCGATTTTCAACGATTTCCAACGATTATGGCAATGTTTTGTATGCTACATGTTAAAATAGGACAGAACTAGAAGCCAAATGGGCTGTTACTCGTAATCAGATTTTAGTGTGTTGTAAATGTTTTCATTTCTGACAAAAGAAAACATTATGCGATAACCATGGTTGACTCCTCAGACGACTTAACAGCTGTAGGGGTATGTTTCGTTGTCTGGCAAGTGGCAACCTATACTTTTATACTTTTAACACGTTATCTAAATAACTATTTATTAAATCAACTTATATGTAAAAATGTTATGTTTATTTCCCCTTCAGCTCTCCATTTGATCGACAAAAACCTATAATATATCTTGGAAAAATCATAATTCTAGCCCTGCTGAAATATGAACTGGTTTACACAGGGTTAGGGGAAGCGACGTTCGGTGATTTGCTCTCTCGGTCTCCAGGGAGGCTAGTTCATTAAATTAAATATTAGAAGGGTCCCCTTTTCAATATAATTTCTGGTATGCACTTAGATAATTTGCCGCACCCCAAGAAGTGTCGCCCCTCCCCCGGGCATATGCCCCCCCCCCCAGCCCTCCCCCAGCCCTCCCCTGTATGAGGGTCCTTTTAGGAATTTAGCCTCATATCTAATATGAACTTAAGGTTTACAGATATATTAATAGAAAAACTGTTTTAGCAGAACCTATATGCCCCCCCCCCTCCCAGATTCGGTTAACCGTCCATTTTTCGGGCTAAGTATTCAGTTTTTTTTCGGGCACAAACGTCAGAGATTGGAGAATGCGACCATATATCATGGAAATATAATTGTGTAATTAATTAAAAAATTCGTTTTAGTTTATGATTGATTCATTCAGAAAATTCTCGGGTTACAAAGAAATTTTTCAGGCAAATAGGCTCAGCAGCCGAATCAAATATTGTTTAAACTATTGTTTTCCCTCTCATCCGAACGACTGGGCATTGTCCTTCCTCCCCCCCCCCCCATTCTGTACAGGGGGAAACCGCACCTGGGTTGTCTTGTACATGTACATGTCTAATCTGTGTAAGTGTAGTAAATGTGAAAATGAAATAAAGAAACAGTTAAAGAAACCGAATTTGATGTTTATACATATAGTGACCAGCGATGATGAAACAACCAACTTTGATGACATTTAAAGCGAAGATTAATTGCGTAACTTTGATTTTCAATGATTGTTTTACTTCAATAAATAATTGTTGTTGTCTTATAGGCTATCAATATTTGTTAGCAAATTACACAAGACACGGTTTCAGTTTAAATGTTTGTAATTTGGCCTTAAATATCTGAACTAGTGAAAATAATGTAGTGTCTAACTGAAAGGATATGTGGGTGTGGGCATATAGTTTAGTAGAAAAAATCACGTGGTTTCAGTGCGATTTACAAAAATGGTCTCCATTACTTCATAACCATATGGCTCAAACAATGTCAAACATATATCCTTGCTCATCAGACTAGGCGCTCCGCCCATAATTTCTGGGTAAACATTCGCTCACCAACCCTTGCATGCCCCTGGGGCCCCATTAACGATATTTATAAATATTGAGCTTGTGTGCTCACAGTCACACATATTGTCTTGTGCGTCATGCAGCATCGGCAGTCAGCATCAGACATTTGGCGGAAAGGGAGATAACTCTCTATTAAATTACCGTTAATGGATTTTCAAAATTCTGTATGTTCCATTGTCCATGATGTTTTCTGCATTTTGTTTTAAATCAAAATTTAACCAATAGCATATTCTTTACCGAGGATGAAGCCATTGGGTGTTTTCGCTAACATTAAATTTTATGTCAACTTCACAATTATTATTGTTAGTATAAATATAGCATTTATCACAATTTCAATCTGACCCTAAATCGAGTTATTGCAAACAATTTGCTTGAAACTCTCTGGATTTGTGTTGCTGGTGCTATAATCTTTCTAAAAATGTATAGTTTGTTTAAAAGGGAGTCACGTGTCGTAGCGGAATTGTGTTTCTAAGCAAGCTAGAAATTTTGGCTGAACCGAACCGGATAGCACTGGGTTATTAAACCTTGTCACAGCGGAACAGAATATTTAATCAAGATTGTTTCAGAAGAAGTCGAGGAGGGTTATAAACCGGTAATTAAGTTTACGATAAATTATGAATTTCTTTAATGTTGACGCTTTCTGGTTGAAATGACGTAGCCTATGTCTATGCCTATTTCTGGCTGTCGAGGATTGTTTATCCGTATCTCTAAACAAATCGAATACTGAATTTTGAATTAGGATGAGGTTGAAGAGGACACAGGGAAGCCCAGATTAATTTGAATCTATGTATATCTGGTAGTTACACCATAATAGATAAATATTTGATTCAAGTTATCGTGAATGCAACCTTTCTGTTCCATGATTTTATCCAGACGAAAACATGATGCAAGTTTTGGCCGAAATAAGATGCGCACTGACAGTAAGTGACGCTTCCCTTCGAGTCTCCACGTGTCCTCCTCAGTGAATATCAGGCGATCACGCCATACACTGACTGACACTCGGCAAAGGCTACAGCAGTATCTAGCTTATTCAGTACTAAGTGAGATTGGGATACCAGGTTTGGCAGTAGTGAGTATTTATTTTTATTCAAGTCGATGACGACTACAACGATTGTCTCAACAAATGAAACAAATTTAGAAACATAGCCGTGAATCCTTATTTCACTTCTTCCATTACGAAACGGCCATTATTAGTATTACGACGATCCCAGTAGTCAGTTGAGTAACATGTATGTAGGTGAGCGAGGAGAATCGTATGATGATGCGAGATAATCGACCCATGTCGATGACTTAATAATAGAGCTACATGTACAAACCAACACGTTTGATTACGTAACTATATTAACACAATGACAATTATTATTCCTTTTTTATGGTGTCAACCTCGTATGTTTATCAGGTAATAATACATGTATCTAACTAAGGCTATCGCCTGATCCAAGGCTATCGCCTGATCCTGTTAAAAAATTCTGTCGTGTTTTTTAAAGTTGTAATGTGTATTGTTATTTGTTTGTATAGTCTGCCATACATGCTTCTGTATGCAATAGCAATATATACATTGTTGTACACTTAATTAGATTTTTGATCTGTTTAGCTCTGGATTAAATAGGTAGATAGGCCTACCGGTATGTAATTTATATAGTTCTTCTAGGACTATTTTTGTAGCCTGTCAAATGAAGTTTAAAAATGTCGACTCACTTCTGTCTGGGGGTATGTCTATACTACATGTTGTCTTTCTTCTGTCTGGGGGTATGTCTATACTACATGTTGTCTTTGATAATTACAAGGCATTGGATAGACTACATGTTGTCTTTCTTCTGTCTGGGGGTATGTCTATACTACATGTTGTCTTTGATAATTACAAGGCATTGGATATTTAACCGTATATATGGCACTTTACTTTATATTTTGCCCTACACCGTCCTTTTAACATGCACAGTTCTGTGATACCTGGACTTAGCAGTTTTCGCTTTGGGGTCTAACCCTAACCCAACAGTTCTATTCGTTCTTTGTCTAACATTGCTTCTTTTTCCGTTTCTTATAAAGGAACGAAATAGCCATACTTGAATTTCTATGGTAGAAACTGGAGAATTATTTTTAAAAGAAAATAAGATAATAAATGTAAATTGTAGAAAAGCATTTAGAATATTATTCTATTTTGGTCGAGGGTGCATTTCTGCGGATTTTGGTTTTTAATTTAAGTACTAAGCTGTCAGTGGTTTATGTTTTTCCCGTAAAATCGTGCTTCTGCGCCGAACTTGAAAGGTGAGTTGCCAAAATGGTGGAATATATCTGTACTTTCCGCCATTTTGAATCAGAAAGGATGTACGGTAAAATAGCGGAAGTAGATACTTTGCTGTATACGGTTGAATATCCACTTCGTAATTACATACAGGTTTTTTTTCATTTTCAACTTTTTCGCCAGAATTTGAATAAAATTTCACAAAAAGATGGTGTAACGGATATGACTATTATGACCATGGCATGATAGAATAGATCATATTGATATATGTTACTGTTGAGTCTAGTTTTTATACGCCGATATTGAAATGTGGTCGTATATTGTTGTCGCTCTAGAGGCAAAAGTTAATATCCGATTGACTTTAATTTATACAGTGTTTAAGGTCTATGGCCCTTTATCAATTTGAAAAAATCTTCTGGATCTCTAGAATTTGAATTTAAACAGTGTTTAAGGTCATGAGACGAAGAAGTCAATTGATTTTCAGCGATTTCCAAAATTACTGCCAGAGTTATGGCCCTTGATCACTTTGAAAAATCTTGTGACGCTCTAGAGGCTAAAGTTAATATCCGATTGACTTTAAATTTACAGTGTTTAATGTCATGAGACGAAAAAGCCTATTGATTTTCGGTGATTTCAAATTATTACTGCCAGAGTTATGGCCCTTGATCACTTTAAAAAATCTTGTGGACGCTCTAGAGGCTAAAGTTAATATCTGATTGACTTTAAATTTATACACAGTGAGACAAAGAAGCATTTTGATTTTCAGCATTTTCTGATAATTACTGCCAGAGATATAGCCCTGGATCACTTAAAAAAAATCTTGTGGACGCTCTAGAGGCTAAAGTTAATATCCAATTGACTTTAAACTTATACGCAGTGTTTGAGATCATGAGACAGAAGAATCCTATTGATTTTCAACAATTTCCGATAATTACTGCCAATATTATGGCCGTTGATCACTTTGAAAAATCTTGTGACATTCTAGAGGCTATAGTTATGATCCGATTGACTTCAGATTGATACAGAGTTAAGGTATATTGATTTTCAATTAATTTTGATAACTAAACAGAAAATCCATGATATTAAATTTTTGTATACTAAACGTTAGCATGGGGCGGAACTTTTATAAAACCCAAACAAATTCTAATGATTTTCTGATCATTACTTAATGAGTTGTTACTCTTAATCAGATTTTACTGTATTATAAATGTTTCATTACTGAAAAAAGTATAAACTCTTGTTGACTGCCCGGACGATTTAGCTATCTTTATCATTTTCACAAAAGTTGAATCAATGTATCAAAATTCACCTTTCCACAAACTGTATCGAATCACCATGTGGAAATCAATACTTCTATTTATCATGAATTATTTTAAAGATTTGACAGATGTCATGCAAGTTGACTTGTATTGCACCACAAGAGTCTTCTCATTACACATGTCAATAGATTAACCTACTCTTTAGGTTGGGCGCAGATTTAACTTTTAAGGCTTCATTTTGAAATTCTCGATGATTGCGGCATTATTCCACAACCTCGCGTGTACATCTTCGCTTTGCACTCTGTTACCCTATACGGCACCACTGGCCTGCCATATAAGGAATTTCATAATACCAAATCGTAAAATGGTTAGTTTTGGCGCGAAAACGTAAACGGCCAATTTTAGCACTAAAACCTCCACGCTTGATACCGGCGTGAATACAAAACAGAACCTGATAATACGTGGATGTCTGTCATGCATTTTGACTAGTGATTATCGATGTAATTTTGAAATACTCTTTTATTCTTTATAAAGAAGATAAACAATGTTTAGACATCATGAACTTCATGTACCGGGACATTGGCGTAAATAAAGGCAGGTAATTATTGAGGAATACTAATGGCATGACCTGGTATGTGAATTAAACTCAGAAAATGAAATGAAAATATCAAGCCGCATCTGGCATCTACTTTTCTTTTTATTCTAATCATAAACATAATATACCGAACCAAACACAAATGCAAAGGCAACCTTCCTAATGATGAGGAAAACCAGCCCACCAAGACAGATACCCTCCAGACAGCCATTCAAGAAACCATTGGGGAGCTCGCCCAAGGGCCACCGAGTACTTCTTTTTCGACTGCCACAGTCGCCGCCCAAGGGCCACCGAGTACTTCCTTTTCGACTGCCACAGTCGTCGCCACAGGATTCCCACCAGAAAGAATCTTATACTCCTAGCCGAAGCAACAGCTCAACGGACATCAACGGCGCTCCGTTCCCAGTCTTCAGCCACTGGGATTTCCTCATATCCCGAAACCAAATCGGAGGGGAATCCTGGACCACCTTAACAACAAGCAGGAGCGACATCTGGAACAATCGTAACCAGTACCTAGATTCCCGCTTCCGGATCCCGATCCAACCAAGCCTTCCGCCAGTGATTTGTTCAATTCTCAATTTTTATCTGGCTTGGGCTTTATTTAAACTTTTCATAAAGCCTTACTTTCTTGTTGTCTTTCCTAGTCCTACCACCCCCCTTTGTGGTCTCCCTTTCCCGTCTCTCCCCATACACACACCCTTTTTATTTTTGCATGCGGTTTTTTCTTGCCCCCTACTCTACTCAGTTTTTCTGGGCATACTTATATCTGTAGACCCCGGTCATACACCAACCCTGGTATTTTTTCCGTCCAACCCCGGTATAAATTATCAACCCCGGTAAACCCCGCCAAAAATAATCTCAAAATAACCCCGGTAAATTCCGAAACCCCGGTATTGGAAAACCCGGTAAAACTACTAAAACTAACAAACCCCGGTGAAATCTCACCGGGGTTTCCACACAGTATATATAGAACCTCACTAAGTGAGATAAATCAGTCTGAAGCGTTCAATTCTGAACGAAACTAGTCACTGCTAAAACGGATAACCGGTGAAATCGCCAATCTCTATCTACCTAAACATACACTGTTAGTAGCAATAGGGCCTACAGTGTTTTATTCTTCAAACAGATAACATAACATGTGATGATGTGATTAGGCATGTCATTCCAGGATTTTTAATTTTTTTTCCGATTCCAGGAGAGTTTTTTATGTGGTCGTATATTGTCGTTGCCTCTTTCCGTTCGTTCATCCACAATTTGTTTGCAGTCACTAAACAGGTCCCAATTTTTATCCAATTTTGACAAAACTTGAAATATAGGTTTAATACCCAAAGATCTTGGTTCCTTTCAATATTCGCACATATTGGACCATAACATCTTGGATTATAGCCCCCGATTGGACGAAAAATCACATTTTTAGCTTGTGGACCCTCTATAGAGGCCACAATTACACTATAATGATAGGTAAGTTCGAATTTTTTGAAAATTGGACCTAAGCTGCTGGGCAAAATGTCCGCCGCTCATACGCATATGATGTAAAAAATATGGTATATGATGGTTGTGGACACACTAGAGGTCACATTTTTGATCCGATTTTGATGAAACGTGAAATGCATGTTTTTTACCAAAAAATCTTAGTTCCTTTCGATATTAGCACATATCATATTGTTACTGCCTGTATAATGACCCTTGAATTCATAAAAATCTTCTCCAAACTCCTTGTATGCAAATAGTGTAAAAGTATGTATTACTAAGGTTATGGACCCTCTAGAAGTCAAATTTTTTTATCCGATTTTGATGAAATTTAAAAAATTTCTTTACATCCCAAATATCTAAGTCCCTTTCGAATTTTGTGCATTTCAAACCATAACTTCCTGGATTATGGCCCCTGATAGGTGAGTTTGAATTTTTATATGCCCACATTTTCTTTTGACGTATATTGTCGTCGCCCCTGTCCGTCCGTCCACAATTTGTTT